CAAAGTATAATAAAAATATAACAAAAATTAACAAAAAATTTGTACAGTATAACAAAAATTTGCTTTACAGACGGACAAAGTGCTCGATGCAGCTGAAGCGATTCTGAAATCTTTGAGAAAATGAGGCAAAAAAAAGTTTTGCTGTTTCGGATTACTTAGTTTCTCGGAGTATGCTAGTCATTGTATTTTCGTTATGCTTTTATCTCTGTATATTAGTACATACGATAAAGAATTTATATGTCTTGAATTTTGCTTTTTCCTTTGCGCTTCTGAGTTACTTCTGTTACGGTAACGTGATTACTTCTTGTTGCTTATTCACGTAGCAAAAGATGAAATATGCGTAATTTTGGGCCAGAGAGATCGAGGAATCGAATTTTGACGACAGACTTCAGTATCGCTCAAGTCCTAGCTATCAAAAAATGATGAAAATGCGAGGCTGTACTGATGTTTCCCACTCCTAATCACTTGACCAGCGCCAGTGTATGTTTACAGCTAAGGGATGAAACAATGACAGATTTCTTTTTTTCTTCATTCACCTAATCATTCATTTACAAATACCGAAAAAACTTTGTTCACCAACTACCTGGAGTTTTGCTTTCTATATTCTTGTAGCTGAACTAAAAAGCAGTTGTTTTTCCATCCAGGGGTCGCTCCATTAATTGATCGTCCAGGCAGTCGTGAAACTTGAAAAGGCTACTAGCTCATCAGTGCTTTAACCGGCAATTAGGCCATTTTCTAGCTTTACTTCATGGTTTTTTCGACTAATGCTACACCGTTAAGTACCTTGTAGTTTGGGACTGATCGCGATAACTTAGGTGAAATTCGCTTGGGTTTACATGCACGGGGGTTTTTACCTGTTCCTAGTCGCTAATTATCAACCTAGGTGTACATTCGTTAGAGTTTTTACCCTGAATAACCCTGAGAAAATCACTGGGGCGCTTCAGGATGAGGATTCTAACACGATAGGTGAAAAAAAAAAACAATATTTTGTGAATTTGTGAATGATTCATGAATATACGATTCGTTGCGATTTGGACAAAAGATAGATGTGGGGGGTTTCTCAGGGGTTTTGACTGAATTTTTTTTCAACAGATATTGCGGCTAGAAAAAATTGTTAAAGTCAAAATCGGTTCCACATCCCCCTGCAATGAGAAGTGGAGGCACCTGGGGAAGTACCTTAAGCGGTAGCAAATGCCAGCAGCAATCACTCAGCAGGCAACATTGTCGATGGGCTCCCCCTTTCGAGAGTTGCTTAGAAGCAAGCTGATGACAGATTTGATTATGCCTTTATAGGCCAGTACTAATTCATCACCAAAATGATTGGATGAGCCACATTTGGATTAGTTTCTTTTTATTGAGAGGAAAATTTTTCAAAAAATTTAAATTTCTTAAGATTTCTTAAATCTTAAAATTTAAATTTTTTTTTGATTTTTCCAGCTTCTCCTTTCGTCCGTCGTTTATTTAAACTCCCAGTACCTGCTCTCGAATCTCCTGCCTTGCCATCCCCTTATTCGCTTTCAAAGAAAAAAAAAGACGAAGACAGCGACGCGTGGTGCAAAGTGGCAAGTGAATGAAAATGTTGTTCAGGGTACTGCCTCAGCGAATAGCTGTCTTGCTGCATTTG